ATGCTGCAATTCAAAATGAGACAATTCTGCTTACAGATAGTTTTCAACTTACGACCATACTGTTTAACCATGGTTTGAAGTTACAACGGCCTACAGGTGACCTATAACCCATTTCCAATGGTTGCAGGGCCTTGTGGACATGTAATCATGATTTTTTAACCTCCCTCCCTTCCTTCTAACAAGCAAATTCAATTGGTGAAGCAGGTTAGTTAATTACTGTGGTTTAAAATGGTCCTACAATTGGATCCAGCCATGGATTAAGCATGGATTTGCTTAACAATCGCATCACTTAATGGCCAAACTTGCAGCCCAACTGTAGTTGTAAGTCAAAAAATGTCCTGTATTCTCTTTCATGGGTAGGACACAACAACTTTCTGCTTATGCAGAAATGAAGATTTTTCTTCTTTGCCTTCATGTTTTGCAACTATTCAACTTACAAAATTCATTGGGGGCTGGGGGGGGGGGGATTGGTTCAGCTTCAATAACAGGAACAAAATGTCCTTTAAACTGACAACTGTTTAAACAGCCTATAGTGCTGCTATTTTATTCAAAATGCCACTGCGATTAAAGTCTCGCAGAGAATAATTTGACTTTTCAGAATAAAGGAGAAATAAAATAAAATGCTTTTTAACTCCCCAAGGTTATTATCGATAGCAGATCAATTTTTGACTTAGCCCATCCTTTTTTATATGAAGGTTTTGTTGGAAAAGGATCCTGACAGTCTTGCAGCTTCAGGAACAAAGATTTCCTGCAAACTGGATTAACATATCTTTCTGATGGTGACAAGAACAATGGTGGCAAGAACAGTCATAAAATGGGACAAGACTCACTTCGTAAAAAAATATTAGACTGTGCAGAAATGTAGAGGTTAACATTAGCAATCCAAGACAAGGAACAAATTGAGTATTATATGATGTGGGATTTATTTTATCAACGGTTGGAAAACTAATATGGAAGTTAAGAAATTAAAGAAGAGTAGCGCAAAATAGTAAACATGTGGTAAGAATTAAAAATGTAAGATGGGGAATGTTATAAGAATTAGATATATAATGTAGATTAGTATTAGCAACCAGAATGATTAGGGGACTGGAGACTAAAACATATGAAGAATGGTTACAAGAACAGGGCATGGCTAGTCTTGTAAAGAGAAGGACCAGGGGAGACAGGATAGCAGTCTTCCAATATTTGAGGGGCTGCCACAGAGAGGAGGAGGGGGTCAAGCTGTTTTCCAAGGCACCTGAAGGCCAGACAAAGAATAATGGCTGGAAATTGAACAAGGAGAGATTCAACCTGGAAATAAGGAAGAATTTTCAGACTGTGAGAACAATCCATCAATGGAACAGCTTTTGCCTTCAGAAGTTGTGGGAGCTTCATCACTGGAGGCTTTCAAGATGAGACTGGACTGTCATCTGTCAGAAATGGTGTAGGGTCTTCTGCTTGGGCGGGGGGTTGGACTAGATGACCTACAAAGTCCCTTCCAACTCTGATTATCTGTTATCTGTTATTAACTAAGAACAGAGTATTAAAGCTAAGCAATGAATGTGTATAAACTATAATGGTTATTGCACAAGGTATCTATACCCGGATGACACACTGTTCAAATGAAAGATGGAATGTTTGTATAAATAAAATAAAAAATTTATTAAAAAAATAAATAAACGTCTCACTCAGCAGCAGAAATTTTGGCAGTCAATTGTGGTCGTAAGTTGAGGACTACCTGTACTCCAGAGCTTTGCCATTTTTAAAGAACACAAGCAAAGAATTTTTTTTTTACAGATCTTAAGTAAGCAACAGACACAATGCACAATCCTTCATTGTTCATTTTGACCTTCCCACAAAAGGTTCTTTGAACGATTACCTCTATTATTTCCGTTTGTTGAAAAAGATCCTGCCTAAAGTACACCTTCATGTGAAAAAAAGATTAATACACAATGGTTGGCTTCAAACACACACACGCAGCAGGCTGCGATATCACTCAAATCAAATCCATTTCATCATTTAGATCCTTTCGCTCTTGACAATGAGGCTCTGGCCTGAGCTGGCAATTAATCTCATCTGAAAAGAATTAAAACGCCATGCCACCGAGCTGGGCTTGCCATTAATAGATCAGCAACCGTTATTTTATTCTTTGCTTGTTTGACGGACAAATCCCACAAACCCATTCTAAATTAAGGAAACCACACAGACATTTGGGGGGGGGGGAAGCAATTAGAAATAGAAGAAACCTTTTTATAGCCCTACCTTCTGAAATATATCCTGAAACCAACCATCAGGCTGACACATTGAGATTCTTCCAGGGCTGAGTTATTTTATTTTTTTCACACCTGTTGACGACATCGTGCCGAACTAAACACTCAATTATCTGTATCTATAGCAGTGGTCTCCAAACTTGACAACTTTAAGACTTGCTGGCTGAAGAATTCTGGGAGTTGAAGTCCATAAGTCTTAAAGTTGCCAAGTTTGGAGAGCCCTGATCTACGGTATACTCTGGGAGCGATTAGAGAGGCACTGTCTTCACCCCCTTTCTCTTACACTTAATTTCTGGGCAGAGTTTGCCTTTTACTCCTCTGGAATGCAGACTCTTCCTCTTGGAAATTTACCTCCTCACTATATTCCATCACATCGTGTGGGGACTTCAATTCCCAGAATTCTTCAGCCACCATGTGTGGACTTCAACTCCCAGAATTCCTCAGTCACTGTGGGTCAGGACCCAAACCAAGAATGACAGGGGGTGATTCTTCCAAGCTGAGTTCTTTATTGTTTCACCCCCATAGACAGAATCTTGACAGGCTAAACACTCAACTATCTGCCTCTAAAATATACTCGGGGAACTGTTGGGGTGACGCTGTCTTCACCCTCTTTCTCTCACACATAATATTACAGCTGAGTTGCCTCTTACCTCTCTGGAATGCATCCCATCCGTCCTCCCTCCAATCCATCAAACTCACCACTTTCCTAGATATATTCACTTTGCCTTCTTTTCAAGTCTATCTTTAAAAAAGAAATTCACCATGCCTTCCACTTTTCCCCTAATCCAGATGTGATATCAATTCAACTGGTATCATTTTTCTAAGGTTTATCCTGTAGGCAGGAATTAACGCCCTCAGGTGAGCCCAGGAGACACCTAAGGACTTTTTAATCAAAGAAAAGTTAGAACTAAAGCATTTTGGCAAAACGATGGGGAAACCCCGCCTCCCCACCAATGCTGGCTTTTTTACAAAACAACCTTGGTATCTTTCTCCTTGCCACTCAATCTAGTTTTGTTAGGCTTCAAAACAGTAACTGTGAGAAGGACCTTGAGGTCATGGTGGACAATCACTTAAACATAACCCCACAGTGTGTGGAAGCAGCCAAAAAAGCCGATACGTTAATCAGTGGTTGTATAAACAGAGGGATACAATCAAAATCACATGGAGTACTAATAGCACTCTATAAAGCCTTAGTAAGGCCACCCCTGGAATGCTGCATCCACTTTTGGTCACCACATTACAAAAAAAAGATGTTGAGACTTTGGAAAAAGTGCAAAAAAGTTGCACTTTTAAGTTGACTAAAGGAGACAAAAACGTATGAGGAATGGCTGCAGGATTTGTATTTGACTAGTCTACCGAAAGCTAGGGACGCGGTAGCTCAGTGGCTAAGACGCTGAGCTTGTCGATCGGAAAGGTCGGCAGTTTGGCGGTTCGAGTTCCTAGTCCTGCATAACGGAGTGAACTCCCGTTCCTTGTCCCAGCTTCTGCCAACTTGGCAGTTTGAAAGCACGCCAAAAATGCAGGTAGCAAAATAGGGATCCCTTCGGTGGGAAGGGAACAGCGTTCCGTGTGCCTTCTCGGCGTTTAGTCCTGCCGGCCACATGACCACGGAGACGTCTTCGGACAGCGCTGGCTCTTCGGTTTTGTAATGGAGAGGAGCACCGCCCCCTAGAGGTGGAAATGACTAGCACATATGTGCGAGGGGAACCTTTAGTCCAGTGAAAAGAAGGGCTAGGAGGGACATGCTAGCATATTCCAGGATTTGAGGGGCTGCCACAAAGAGGGGAGGGTCAACTTAGTCTCCAAAGCACCTGAAGGCAGGATGAGAAGCAATGGATGGAAACTAACCAAGGAGAGAAGCAACCCGGAATTAAGGAGAAACTTCCTAAGAGTGAGGACAATTAACCAGTGGACCTGCTTGCCACCAGCAGTTGTGGGTCTCCAACATTGGAGGTTTTTAACAAGAGACTGGATAATCCCCTGTCTAAAATGGTATAGGGTCTCCTGTTTGAGCAGGGGGTTGGACTAGAAGACCTCCAAGGTCCCTTCTAACTCTATTCTGATTGACATGGCTCTTTCTTCCCGGTGGGTTGTCGTGTTTCCACGTAAACTTCCCTTTTGTAACCATTATATTGCTTACTAGCTCAATACCCAGGCTTCACTACAAAACTATGTGGTTGGGCTTAGTTTTGGGGGAGGAAAAGAAGGGGAAAAATTTTGTCTCTGCCTACCAGCATCCATCGGTATCCATCTGGCTAGCGTCCTGTCAGTGTGCGAGAGAATTGAGGGCTGTTTGGAAAGTGAAACAGTATTTGCTGTGTGAGCAAGAAGGAGACAGCAAGGAGCCTGAGCGTGGCTTAGCTCAACTGTTCTGTACTAAAGCTGCTTGATGCTGTAAAACTGAAATTGAAACTCCTCTCCTCTGCTTGTGTTTTGCATTTGGAAGTGATTTCTTTTCAGGTGGGGAGGGGGAGTAGAACTCCTTAGCATCAGAGTGTATTAATAATAATATAGGAAATGCGAATGCTCTGATGGTCATTTCGAAAAATCCTTTCTTAGTGAGTCCCTAGAAACCAAGAGGAACATTCGCGCCAAATTTCAAGTTTGTAGGCTTTACAGTTCTAGAGATTTGTGTGATATGCCTGAGTGGTATTTTGCTTTTATATAGAGAGATAGTGACCCTCTCCTCTTCTCCTCTTCTCCAATCTTATGGACCCAGGTTTAATCTTTACTGATCTTTGAATTAATTACCTTTTGCAGATTCGGATCGCTTAGGTAAATCCAGTGTATCAAAGTTCCGGTCCACATCTCCATTTTTCTTTCCTAAGCAGGAGACACAAAGAAATGATAAAATCAACATGATTTGGGGGTCATGAATCAACTTCACCCATTTTTCTAGGTCCTCCCAAATTGGGACAAACAGAATGCAAAGCTTAAAATCATATCCACACCCATCCACCCTTCATCTGTACATGCATTTTGTCCTTAGGTAAGTTCGGGACATATTTACTGGACATGCAAGGGAGGTTTTCATGAATGAGCAGAAACGACAAACAGGTGGTGGGATGTATGATTGACTTGACATACAAGTAGTCCTCAACTTACGGCCACAGTCGGGGCCAGGATTTCTCTTGTTAAGTGTGTGGCACAAATTTTATCTTGTAGGGGTTTTTTTGGCCACAGGTGTTAAGCAAATCCCTGCAGTCATTAAGCAAATCCTGTAGTTGTTAATAGCAATAGCCCTTAGACTTATATACTGCTTTGCAGTGCTTTTACAGACCTCTCGAAGCCGTTTACAGAGTCAGCCTGTGGCCGCCAACAATCTGGGTCCTCATTTTATTGATCTCAGAAGGAAGGAAAGCTGAGTCATCCTTGAGCCATGTGAGATTCAAACTGCCAAAGTGCAGGCAGCTGGCAGTCAGCAGAAGTAGCCTGCAGTACTGCACGCTAACCACTGCGCCTCCACGGCTCTTAATCCAACTTTCCCATTGGTTTTACCAGTCGGAAGCCAGCTGGGAAGGACATAATGGGGATCACGTGACTCCAGGATGTTGCGACGGTCATAAATACATTCCAATTGCCCAGAATGCAAATTTTAATCACATGACTGTAGGGAAATGTTGTGATGGTTTTAATGCGTAAGTCCCTATCTTCAGTTCCGCTGTAGCTTTGAGCGGTCACTGAAGAAGTGATTGTAAGTTGAGGACTATGTATGTTGTTTACGGTATTTGCACTGTGATTTTCCTCTAGAAACTCAAGGCAACAGACACGGGTTCTGCCTTCATTTTATCACCCATCACCTCCCTGTAAGATAAATTTAGATTAAGAGAAAATAACTGGTCCAAAGTCTTCCAGCAATCTTAAAATCAAATGAAGACTTGACTATGGATCTCCCCAGGAGTAATTAGCCACTTAGGCACTTAACTAGTGGCTAAGGCATCAGGCTACAAAATGAGAGGCTGTGAGTTCTAGTCCTGTTTTAGAAATGGAAGCCAGCTGGGTGACTTTGGGCCAATCACTAGGAAACAGTGAGTTCTAGTTCCGCCTTAGGCACAAAAGCCAGCTGGGCCAATCGCCACTAGGAGATGGTGAATTCTAGTCCCACCTTAGCCATGAAAGTGGCTGGTTGACTCTGGGCCAATCACTAAGAGACAGAGAGTTCTAGTCCCACCTTAGGTACGAAAACCAGCTGGGTGACTTTGGGCCAATCACCACTAGGAGATGATGAATTCTAGTCCCACCTTAGCCATGAAAGTGGCTGGTTGACTCTGGGCCAATCACTAAGAGACAGAGAGTTCTAGTTCTGCCTTAGGTATGAAAGCTGGCTGGATGACTTTGGACCAGTCACCAGGAGACTGGGAATTCTAGTCCTGCCTTAGCCATTAAAACCAGCTGAGTGATTGCCTCAGTGACTTTGGGCCAGTTTCTCTCAGCCCAACCTACCTCACAGGCTTGTTGCTGTGGGGAAAATAGAAGGAGGAAGGTGTGTACGATACTTTCACTGCCTTGAGCAATTTGCAAAAATAATAAAGGCAGGATATAAACAAAAGAAAGAAAGAAAGAAACCATATTCTACCTACCTGGCCTAATTCTAGTTTTTTCTAGAAGTCTGAAAAAAGGAATCTCTTTCTTTCCAGTCCTCTAAGCCAGCGAGCATCTTACCACGCACCCCTTCCAAAAGTTTATATGTGATAGAAAATTTTTAAAAGTCTTCCCTCTCAAATCTGAACGAGTGACAAGTCATTCCAAAAGAAAATCTAGCTTTTCTCGAGCTCAGAAAGTGATGCAACAGGATGAGACATTTCCAGACACAAGGTCAGCAAGATTTAGTTGTGTTTCTCATTTCTTTTTCTTTTTCTTAAAAAAAAAAAAAAACCCTTACCAGGAGGAAAATATCAGTAAGGGAAATATAAAAAAATAAACTGAAAAAAAAAATCCTTCCTGAGGTTCCACGAATTCAGGCATATTACAAGTATAAAGCAGCTTTTAAATGCTTCAGCAGTTTTTTTTATCTCAATCGCTCAGAAATGTATACCTCAGGGAAAGCTCTTGCTAGGAATTTTTTCTTCAATGCGTTTCGTGAACAACTTTTAAACTTTTTCAAAAAGCCAGCTTGTGGCAGGGTTGGAAGATTGCCATAAGGAAACAGCAGCCGTGGGAAAGAAAGCTAATCTTTATTCGCCTCTCCAGTTCCCCTCTCGCAAACCAACAAGGTTCATAATAATCACAATATTTAAAAAAAATGAAGTGTGGATTGTGCAAAGAGGCAGAAGAAGTGGCAGATCATACATTTGGCTCCTGCGAGATGGTTGCACAAACCGATTGATGAACAACGACCTACCTAATCTGGTCACTAAATGGGAACCTCTGTAAAAATGGCCATTAAGCCAGTCATGAAAAAATTGGTGGGAACACAGAGTTGAAAAAGTCGATGAAAAAGGAACAGGTGAAAATATTGTGAATTAGAATAGAATAATAGAGTTGGAAGGGACCTTGGAGGTCTTCTAGTCCAACCCCCCTGCTCAGATAGGAAGCTCTATACCATTTCAGACACATTGTTATCCAATCTCTTCTTAAAAACTTCCAGTGTTGGAGCAGCCACAACTTCTGGAGGCAAATTGTTCCGCTGATTAATTGTTCTCACTGTCAGGAAATTTCTCCTTAGTTCTAAGTTGCTTCTCTCCTTGATTAGTTTCCCCTCATTGCTTCTTATCCTGCCCTCAGGTGCTTTGGAGAATAGTGGGTTTCTCAATACAAATTTTTAAAAAGTCTTGGCTTGTAAGACACCAGATTTAACTGGGATTGCAAAGAAGAAAGTGCGGACCGCTGACGTGACAATACCAGGGAATAGCAGAGGACAAAGCTAAGGGGAAGGTCACCAAATATCAAGATCCGAAAATGGAAGTTGAAAGATTAAGGCATAAACTAACAGAGATGAACCCAGAGGTTGTCAGAATGCTGGGTACCATTGATAAAAGTTTGGGAAGGTGGTTATAAAATCTGGGCATTGATAACATTTCCATCGGTCGATTCCAAAAGGCCACATTCCTTGCGACATTAGGGAAGAACTTGATGCGTATGAAGGCCAGCTGAAAAATGGAAGTTGTGATTTGACATTGTTGTGTATGTAAGGGAAAAAAAAATAGAAAGATTTCCCCCATTAGTTTTATCCAACTCTAGGGCAGGATGTTTCTTGGCCAAGGGAGCCAGTGTTGTCCGAAGAAAACTCCTATGGTCAAAGATGCACTAAATGCTGCTACCTTTTGACAAAGTGGTCACTTCTTAATCTACTCGCATTTGCATGCTTTTACTAATGGGCAGGCAGGAGCTACAGGAATAAGATCGACAGGCACCTGCCCACATAGCAACTCGGACTTAAGAACTGTTGATAAGAAAGACTTGAATTGTTATCCAGAAAGTCTGGATAATGGACGTGGCTCTATCTGGAGACAGCAGAATAGAAGTGGGGGGAAAAACCAGGAGAAAATCACAAAATATACAGAGACTTGCAAATAGAAGTAGAACGACTGGGGCATAGGAAAGCAAAGGCAGAACCAATAGTGATAGGCCCCGGGGGTGCAATATTAAAACATCTGGAGCACCGCTTGAACACCCATCAGCACTGACAAAATGGAGAAGAATGGGAAGGAGGAGGAGGAGGAGGAGGAGGAGGAGGAGGAGGAGGAGGAGGAGAAGGAGAAGAAGAAGAAGAAGAAGAAGAAGAAGAAGAAGAAGAAGAAGAAGAAGAAGAAGAAGAAGAAGAAGAAGAAGAAGAAGAAGAAGAAGAAGAAGAAGAAGAAG